GGCCGCGGCGCGACGAGAGGGCCCCCATGGGAGCTCCACTAGGGTCAAGAGGGAAAAAAAACACAGACACAATTCATCGTCGATCCCCCAGAAAATAGGCAAAAATATGGGAAGTGGGGGGGGAAGACAAAAACTCAGAAAATATGGGAACATATGGGGACTATTTTTATCTGTGTGTATTTATTTGTGTGTCCTGGGGCCCCTTTTTATAGGGCGCAGTCTCGGCTCTGGGGCCTCGGACCTCGGCACCACGCGGCAGCCGGTCGGCCAGCACGTGGAGCAGACCGCCACAGGGGGGGCCCCCAGGAGGACCCCCGACCCTGCCGTCGGGGCGTTGACCTAAGGAACCCTACATAAGGAACGATCGGGGGTGGACAGAACCCCCAACAGTGACACGTCGATTAGTGAATTGTCCGTTTTCGGTTCTCGAGAGTGCGCCGTGGCCGTTATTTTCCAGGCTTGCGCCCGCCAGGTTTGGGCCTCAGGTCGTTTTCACTAAACCACGTTTTACTAAAGGGGGGTCTGTCCATCCCCGGAACGAGGCCCCTTTTTTCCATAAGTTACACTTCGATTTCCGATCGAGAAAGCATAAGGACAGCCTGAGGCAAGCTGTGAAACACTTGAGGAACACGGAGCCCCTCCCCAACGAGAAGGGTTCCTTCTTCAGGGCCCCGATTGTAACCTCCCGGGAGGGCTCACAACACAGCACCAGGACCTCGACGCTTGAATTCCGGTCGAGGCTGTGAGCAGTCCAGACAGGTCTTTAGGTCTGGAGGGCTATTTCTCTGAGAAGCTGCGTGCGTATGATTTCTGGGAGCTCCGCGAGGATTTCTCGGATCGGCGCGGGGGCCCCCTGGCGGCGCCGCTCCCGGCGCGCTCCGCGCGCCGGGGAGGAGTTTCTCAGCCCCGATCCAAGAAGGCCGCGCGGAGTGCAGGGAGATGATGCTGATACCGCTTGTTGTTCTTGTGGAGAGGGCCCGAGGAAGCCCAAAAAGCCCAACAGCTTCGGTTCCCGAGTCTCGCACTTCGTGCCACGATCTGTTCGATGCGCCACATGTCTGGCGCGCTGGAGGACGTCACCTACGAGATGTCCACGCTGGGCATCACGACAGGCACCGTCGGCGGTGCGGATGCTGTTTCTCTGGAGTCGGAGGCGCTGCAGCAGCACATCGAGGACTACGATGCCAGTCTGCGCTCTGCAGACTGAGGGAGACCTAGACGTCCAACGTCCGGACAACGAAACATTTTTACGTCGCAGCGCGGCAGAGGCAGTCCGCACGCGCGCTCGGGCAAGCCGGGTAATGAACGGCATCGCTAATTGCCCAGCGGCAAGAGCGAGAAAAAGGGAGTAGGGGGCGGTCGCAGGGCGAGGAAGGGAAGGAGGGCGGCTCACGCGGCGGGAAGGTTGGCGCTCAGGGGGCGGGGTGCTCACGGACATGATTGTGTGTTTTTGTGTTTTGGGTGGTTTTCGGCGCATGGAGGCCGTTTTCGCGGCGCAAGAAAGTCGCTGTCCATAGATCGAGGCCTCTTCGTCTCCGAGGCCGCTAGAGATCTATGGAGGTCTCAGGAAGCCTTCAGGGCTCCCTGGCCTCCGGAGGCACCTGGCGTCAGCCAAGAAACAATCACAGCATAACACATCTATCTTCCTTTTCCCTCCTCCTTCTCTTCCTCTTCCTCCCCCTCCCTCCTCCTCCTCCTCCTCCTCCTCCTCCTCCTCCTCTTCCTCCTCCTCCTCCTCCACCTCATCCTCCTACATACCATCCTCCTCCACCTCCTCCCTCCTCCTCCTTCACTCCTCCTCCTCCTCCTCTCCTCCCCTCCTTCCTCCTCCTTCCTCCTCCTCCTCCTCCGACTTTCCCTCTCTCTCCTTCCTCATCACTTTCTCTTCCTTCTCCTCCTCCTCCTCCTCCTCCTCCTCCTCCTCCTCATTTTCCCCCTCCTCCACCCCTCCCTCCTATCCTCCCTTCCCTCCGCTCGCGCCCCGCCGACGACGGGGCATCCCCCCCCACGTCCGACGCCACACGGCCAGCTGTTCTCGGCATGGGCCCCAGGACCCCTCGACCTCCCTGCGGGGCAGTCCCCTGCTGCACCTGCGGGGGATGCACTCTGGCTGGCCCCGCGCGGCTGGCCACGGGCCTCCGGCGGCCGAGGGCGTCGGAAGGGGGGCGAGGACCTTGGCCTTCCAGGGTGCCAAGGACTAGCCCTCCAGACCTATAGACGTACACCTTAGGCGATGCTTAAGAAAATTTAAGTTTTCGGCCAGAGTCTCGATTATTCTTAACGTTTCGATGTAAATCTTTCGATGTTGATAGAAATGTTCGGCTTTTATTCAACTTCTGAGACTATGAATTTCTTAACCCATGATTTCTTAGGCACTTCGCAGGGTGTATTCCAGATTTCGTAATAAAGGGAGGGGGGTCTCATTTCGGGGGGGGGTCTCTTCCAGGCTATCTTGGAGGGCCTGGGGGGTCTGGGGACGATGTTTTGGAGGCTTCTCCCACGGGGGAGGTCTGGAATGGCTTGTCTTGGAGGGTCCAGACCCCCTCCCTTTTATTACGAAATCTGGAGTATCTGGGCTGCCTCAAACCTCGACTCGAATTTGGAGGCCGAGGTACTGGTGCTGCTGTGCTGGCCCTGCTGGAAGGTCAGGGTTGGGACCTTCCTGGGGGCACCCTTGGGCGATTTACGACGTGCTTGCCTACCAACCGCCCAAGGAGCTACGTGCCCAGACCCACAGACGTCGTGATTTTTTGCACAACGTCGACCCCCAGAAGTCTGGACCCCTTCCCCGGACCCGGCTCTTCATACCGAGTCGTTCTGTATATCGGTCCCGAGGCCCGGTATGAGGCCCCCCCGAGGCCGAAAACAACGACGAGCCTCCCGCCGTGGTGTTTTTTGGTTTTTTTTTAGTTTTTTTTTTGTACTCTTCACGGCGCCGAGGAGGTCTGGCGTGCGTACTGACCTGCTCTTCGCGCCCTCGGCGCCTGTCGCCCTGGCCCGCCGTGGGAGGGCCACCGCGGACGCGGACCCCTGCGGCCTCGCAGCCCAGGCAGCCATGGCTGTGTGCTCCGCCGGAAGAAAAAAAAACAAAAAAAAACTTAGCCTCCAAAGGCCCCGGAGCTCCTGGGGCCGCGGGGCTCTCGGGAGCGGGGCCGCGGCACGGGCGGAGGGGGCCCCGTCAGGGCGAGCGAGGCGCCGCGGCCGAGATCGCCTCCTCCTCCTCCCTCCTCCTCCTACATCCCTCCTGCACCTCTCCCCCTGCCCCTGCTTGTAGCTCCTCGTCCCTCCTCCTGCGCCTCTTCTTCCCTCCTCCCCTCCACCTCCTCTCTCTCCTCCTCCCCCTCCCTCCTACTCTCCTCCTCCTCCTCCTCCTCCTCCTCCTCCTCCTCCTCCTCCTCCCTCTCCTCCTCCCTCCTCCGCCTCCTCCGGGCCCACGTGCAATGGGTTCGCGCCGGGGGCCTCCGCCCGGCGTTGGCGCCCCCCGGGGCCCTCGGAGGTCGAGGCGGCTCGGAGGATGTCGGAGGCAGCTCCTGGGAGGTGAAACATTCGGACTTTGCCCTGGTCCGAAGTTCAGTTCTAGGGGGCCACATGCGAGCCCTACCCCTGCCCCCCACGATTTCTGAGGGGGAGGGCGGGGTTCACTTCGCCACCCTCCCCCTCAGAACTCCCACCCTCCCCCTCAGAACTCGTGGGGGGTAGGGGTAGGGTTCGCATGTGGCCACCCAAGTTCATATCGGCTGAGGCCCGCCTAATACCGCTAAATCCGCGGCCTAATCCGGTGCAGTGGGACCAATGCGCCTCAAGCCTTCCGGCGGAGGCCTCCCAGTGGTTGCCTCCTGAGGACATGATGCGGAAAGACTGGTCTGAAAGCTCTTGGGACGAGCTTCTGAAGGAGCTTTCTGAAAGCTTGACAGCACACGATTTGGGAGACAGGCAGAGCAGGCCTTCAGGGACACGCTGCAGCTTCACGTGAGGCGCCGCGAGATTCCTTGACCGACGCCGGAAAGATCTGAGGCTTCGTGGATGAGTTTCCCATATGTATCCTAAGGGTGGGGTCCTTGTTACCTCTCCGGCCGCGCCGAGCACGAGAACCCCGACTCATTCGTCCTCTAAATTATGATCGTGACGATGGTTACTATGTTGTTGATGTTGCTGATGATGCAGATGATGATGCTGGTGGTGATGATGATGCTGATCCTGATCCTGATGTCGATGAGGAGGATGATGCTGATGATGAGGATGAGGATGAGGATGATGATGATGATAATGATGATGATGCTGTTTATGATGATGCTGATTATGATTTTGATGATGATGATGATGATGATGATGATGCTGATGATGATGATGATGATGATGATGATGATGATGGCGGTGATGAAGATAATGATGATGACGATGCCGATGCAGACGATGATGATGAAGATGATGACGATGGTGGTGATGATGGTCATGATGATGACGATGATGACGAAGACGATGCTGATGATGATTATTATGACGATGACCGTGCTGCTGCTGATGATGGTGGTGATGATGATGAGGACGATTGCAATGATGATAACAATGATGATGGTGATGATCATACTCAGGATGATGGTGATGATGCTGTATCTGGTGCTGATGCTGATCATGGTGGTGGTTGTGTTGATGATGCTGATGATTGTGGTGATGATGCTGGTTGTGCTGCTGGTGCTGCTGATGATGCTGATGCTGCTGCTGTAGATTCAGATGATGACGATGATGATGCTGCTGCTGCTGATGATGATGATGATGATGATGACGACGGGGTCCGTGGCTCCATTGGTGATTTGTTGCAATGCTGTATGTTTTTGTGCAATGTCAGATTTCGGGGGAGGTGCAAGGGGGGGAGATGGGAGGATGGGGGAGGCTGGGGCGAGCGGGGAGGACCGTGGCGAGGACGAGAGGTGAGGGGATGGAGGGCCCGAACATCCTCGCGCCACGGAACGGTTACGACGGAACAGTTGTCTATTTCCGGGCCCCCTCACCCGGCCCCGGGACTTTTTCCCGGCGGAGCCGGGTGAAATTCCGTGCCCGCCGGCTGACTGATGACTGACTGAACGTCAGGGGACAGCTCGGGAGACACATTTCAAACCGCCCGCGGGAGCGCAACCCGGCGGCGGCAACCGCAACCCAACCGGGCGACACATTTCAAAGCGCCCGCGGGAGCGCGCAACCGCAACCGCAACCGCAACCGGGCGACACATTTCAAAGCGCCCGCGGGAGCGCGCAACCGCAACCGCAACCGGCGGCATATTTCAAAGCGCCCGCGGGAGCGCGCAACCGCAACCGCAACCGCAACCGGGCGACACATTTCAAAGCGCCCGCGGGCGCGCAACCGCAACCGCAACCGGGCGACATCAAAGCGCCCGCGGGAGCGCGCAACCGCAACCGCAACCGCAACCGGGCGACACATTTCAACCGGGCGACGCCCGCGGGAGCGCGCAACCGCAACCGCAACCGCCGGGCGACACATTTCAAAGCGCCCGCGGGAGCGCGCAACCGCAACCGCAACCGGGCGACACATTTCAAAGCGCCGCGGGAGCGCGCAACCGCAACCGCAAACCGACACATTTCGCGGCGACAACCGCAATTTCAAAGCGCCCGCGGGAGCGCGCAACCGCAACCGCAACCGCAACCGGGCGACACATTTCAAAGCGCCCGCGCGCGCGCGCAACCGCAACCGGGCGACACACGGGCGCAACCGCGACCGCAACCGGGCGACACATTTCAAAGCGCCCGCGGCGCAACCGCAACCGGGCGCGCAACCGCAACCGCAACCGGGCGACACATTTCAAAGCGCCCGCGGGAGCGCGCAACCGCAACCGCAACCGGGCGACACATTTCAAAGCGCCCGCGGGAGCGCGCAACCGCAACCGCAACGGCAACTGGGCGACACATTTCAAAGCGCCCGCGGGAGCGCGCAACCGCAACCGCAACCGGGCGACACATTTCAAAGCGCCCGCGGGAGGGCGCACCCGCAGGGTTTCAAGGGGGTCGATTGCGCGTGCACTTGTGCGTAAGCTGCCCGCGGAAGGTGGCGCGTAGGCGCCTTAATGCGGTCTGCCGCGCGAGCGGCTTGCGTGATCCACCGCGCAAGGTCGTCGCGCAATCGAGTGCAACCCCCCTTCTGATCGTTTCTCCCTGGGGGGTCAGGCGAGTGGAATTGCCTCAGCCACGTCTCGGCCACGCTCGTGGGACTGCCCCCCGCAGGGTTTCAAGGGGGTCGATTGCGCGGGCACTCGCGCGCATGCCGCCCTCGTAAGTTCGCGCGTCTGCCGCGCGAGCGGCCTGCGTGAGCCACCGCGCAAGGTCGTCGCGCATTCGAGTGCAACCCCCCTTCTGATCGTCTCTCCCGGGGGGGTTCAGGCGAGTGGAGTTGCCTCAGTCACATTTCGGCCACGCTCGTGGGACTGCCCCCCGCAGGGTTTCAAGGGGGTCGATTGGGGGCGGGGGACGACAATGAGAAGAAGGAGGAGCCACTGGCGGAGGGCCCGACGACGAGCCCCCGCGTGGCCCGCGGGTCTCCGCCGGGACATTGCAGCGGGGAATCCCTATTCCACGCTGCTGCCCTTGATTTAAAACGATCCAGGATGAAAAGGCGCTTCCAAGCAAGGGATCCAGACCTTTGGGGAGCCACGTTGCCGAAAAAGTCACGACGTCGGCTGTCTTAAAGGAGGACGGGGAGGAGCGGGGAGAAGGGAGGAGAGGTGAGCTCGGTGCTCTCGCGCCGCACCTGACACCCACACCACCCAACCCGTTCCTTCTTACCATGTTGGCTCCTTTTCCATCCGCCGACCAGGGTGCCCTAGAGGACCCTGATCCCCACCTGGCAGCTGCAGGATTTGACCCATCGTCTGCGGTGCAATCGGGATGAGGGGCCTTCGGACATTGGACCAAGAGGAGGCGGATGGAGATGAAGAAGGTTCAGGAGGGGAACAAACACACAGACACATAATCGGCGACTCCCAGGGAAATATTTGTAAATATGGTAAGTGGGGGGAAGGCGAAAACCCAGAAAATATGGAAACAGATGGGGAATCCTGGGATTTGTGTCTGTTCATTTGTGTGCCCCTAGGTCCCTTTGAAGGTGTATGAGGAGCAGGCGGGCCAGGGGAAGGTAGAGGATGGGGAGCGGAGGGGGACAGCACGTAACGAGGAAGAGGATTCGGATGCAGAAGTGGTTTGCTCGCGTTGGGGCTCAGAGCGCCCTTCTGAACGACCAGCGCACAGCACCGCTCCTGAAATGCGGCCAGCATTGCAGCGGGAATGCAATGTTCGAAGGACCAGGAGCGTTCCGATCGAACAGACATGTACCATTTCAGTATTTGGCACCCTGTGTATAGTAAGCAATACGCGGGAACACGGCGGGAACACACGCGCGCAGTTCCAACTGGGAAATGGAGGAGAAGGAACCGCCACGGCAAGTAGAAAGGCAAAGGCAGCGACAGAGGCAGCGTCACCGGTTGCAGCAGCGTCATTTCTTTTGCAACGCCAGCATGAGGAGAAAGAGAAGGATGATCATGATGGCGGCAAGCAGAAGCATGATAATGATAAGCGAAGAGAAGAGTCTAGCGCCATTGCAGCACAATTAGCCTGGGCACTGGCATTCGCAGTCGCGGTAGTGGTAGCGGTAGGGGGTAGTGGTAGCAGTGATGGTAGTAGCAGCAGTAGTCGTGTCGGTAGCAGCAGCGTTAGAATCAGCATTGCCAATCTGTGTGTCTGGTGTTCGTGGTAGTCACAGCAGCAGTAGTAGTTGTACAATGAGTAGTGGGCGCAGTTGCAGGATGTGTTCTTGGACGGGGACAGGGGGATGATTTGCTCACGTGGGCGAGACGAAGGGGAATGACGAGGTAAGAACAGGAAAGCGGAACAATGAATGGGATGGTGATTGTATGTGTCGATGCCAAGTTGCCGCGAGGAGAGCATCTATGGGCTTCAGCCTCGTGGTTGGATATGCCGGAAGTTCCAGCAGGCCATCAGCTTCGTGGGGCTTTCTGGTGGCGACCCGAGGCGGGAACATTGCAGCAAACATTTTGGGGACTTCTTTTCGATGTTAACCGCCGAGATGTACATCGACGTCCGGGTCACGCCACTGCTGGATTACCTTCGGGAGCGCACGAAGGAGATCCAGAGGATCCACACTGGAATTAGCATCGCTATCTGCGTGATTCTCTTTGTGACTGCGGGGCTTGCGATGTGCGACATCACATCGGCCGTTCCAGTATGTATTACTTTGATTGTGTGTCTTGCGGCCGCCCAGAAGCACGCTGCGCCGTTGGATTTATGTCAGGCCAACCAGGCTGCCATCGAGGAGCTGACTCGCCTAGAGCTGCGCTGGCACTCCCTGAGTATCCGAGAGCAGCGGGAGTGGCAGACGAGAAGTACATTGATATCCAGAACGGAGAAGGTGTGACCGTGCCTGCTTCTCTCCTGGCTGGACAGGTTGAAAGGTAGTTTCTGCTTGAGCCATGCATGGACACGCGTTGTGGTGGACCCCCCAATGACGTCGCCCAGAAGAGTGGCCGCACCCACCTGCAGGAGGAAAGAGGAGCAGGAGGGATGTGAGAACTGTTCTCAGTTGTCGCTGGCGTTCGCATTGCATCGCGAGTGGAGCTCCTGCAAAACATTGCATGGCCGACCATGGGAACGTAAGAATTGGCAAGGCAGACCAGACCAATGCAGACGACGAGCAGTAAGGCAATGTAGTAAAAGGCCAGGCACATCTTGCGGAATTGCCTTGCGCCATTTCCTACGTTCATTGGATCTCTCGGTTCGGATTGCGGCGTCCCCCAGCGAGTTGCAGTCGCTCGATATGATTGTTGCGTTGTGCTTAATTCGACAACATTCAGGGGGCTACGGGTCTGCATGTAGCGTGTGACGTTGTGGTCGTTCGTATTGTCACGTCGCCGTTGCCGCAAGCACTTGCACACACCATGGGCTGACCTCTTTTATGAACTTGCACTGTGGTGAATGACATGATGCCAGCGAGCGGACCCCAAGCAGTTGCCGCAACAGTGCCGGCACGGAACTTTTTCCCAGACAATGCTTGCATCCATGGGGTTGCGCTTGGTTTCTGGCCAGTTGTGTGTGGGTTCCTGGGGTTCTTCCCTAATCACCGCCCGTGGGCGCCTCGTTGCCGCCTTCTGCGCTGGCTGGGCGCCTCAGGTTTTCGCCCAGTCGCCACCCGGGGGGGCCCCGTCTTCGCCCCGTGCGCCAAGGCGGGGCTCCCAGCTGCCGGCTCCCGGGAGTTTCGCCCCGTCGCCGCCCTGGGGCGCCGCGTGGGCGTCCATTGCGCTGCCCGGGTTTTCAAGGTTTCTGCCCCGGGGGCGCCTCGCCGCCGCCAAGAGAGCTTGCACCGCAAAGCTTGCGCCGCACAGCCTACGCCACCGAGAGTGCGCCCGCGCAGCTGGCACCACACGGCTTGCACCGCACGGCCTGCCCCACCAAGGCTGCACCGTGTAGAGTGCACCTCGCCTTTCGCATCACGCATCGCTTGCACCACGAACACTCGCTCACGGTTCAAGGTCCACGCCGACAAACCCATCTTCAGGAATCGGGCGGGTGTTCCGGATTCTCGCCCAGTGCCCGCCTCTCCCTGACCTTCCAGAGTGCTGAAAAATGGCCCTCCATACCTATAGACCTATCTGGACGGCTTCAAACCTCGACAGGAAATCAGGTGTCAAGGTTCGGGGTGTTCTTGTTTGAGCCTTCCTGGAAGGCCAGGGTGGGGAGCCTCGTGTGCGCCTCGCGCGCTGGCAGGCTCTTCTTACGACTTCGTGGGCGCCTTGTGCGCCTCGTGGACGCCTCGTGGGCGCCTCGTGGACGCCTCGTGGACCCCTCGTGGACGCCTCGCGTGGGTGCCTCGTGGACGCCTCGCGTGGGCGCCTCTTGCGCTGGCAGGGCCTTCGGGTGTGCTGCCCGTCAGCGCCTCGTGGTCGCCTCGCGCGCTGGCGGAGGCATCTTCCGGAGGCTCTGCCGGGCGCTCGCCTTGGAGCACGTCGTGGGCGCCGCGCTCTCTGGCCGTCGCGCCTCCTCCTCCTCCTCCTCCTCCTCCTCCTCCTCCTCCTCCTCCTCCTCCTCCTCCCCCTCCTCCTCCCTCTCCTCCTCCCCTCCCCTCCCCTCCCCTCCACGTGCCCTCGCCCGGGTTGTCGCGCGCTGCCCGCCCTGGCACGCCTCGTGGGCGCCTTGTTGGCGCCTGCGGGCCTGCACAGCACAGCTTGCAGCCGATCGGCTGCACAGCACTGGTGGCAGTGCATGCCGACCGCCTTTGCGTGGTGAAGCAATCACGACGGGAGGTTTCCCTGTATGTTCGGCCTCCGGGGGCCCTCACCAGGCCTCGGGACCGTCAGAAAAGGATTCAGGATGAAAAACCGGTCTCGGGGAAGGGATGGTGGAAGGGGTCCGTGAACAAGTCACGACGTTGGGGGTCTGGGTGAAGTGCGCCATGTCTGCATACATTAATTTCTGTAGAAATGCAAGACTGCATTGGCGCTTCGTGCCATGCACCTTGGTCTTTCGAGCTTCGTGCAACGTGGCTCTTCGCGCAATCCGCCGTGGCCTTGAACTGCGGCCGGCTTCCCGGAGTATTCTTGGGTTGCGTTGGACCCGAATCTCCCAGCGGACCTTGCCATGCGGCGACGTGAACGCCGGAGGCTCCGAAAGGACGGACATCGGTCGGAAAATTTTGATCGTCGAACCTCGGCCCTCGATCATATGCCGCCCTCTGTCGGGATGGAGCAACCATCCTGGGGATGAGGTCTTCGGAAGTCGCAGAGGCCTTAATTAGGCCGTCTGGAGGCCTTCTTGGGCCGTCGGGGGGCCCTTTTGAAGGCCTATTGGGCCGCATGGGGCCTGTTGGGCTGTCAATGGATAGTTGTTTGGGTTTTTTGTTGACCGTGTTGGGGCCCTCTTTGGGCCGTCCTGGGGCCGTCCTGGGCCGTCTTGGGGCGCGAGGGCCTGGGCAGTCTTGGGGCCCTGTTGGGCCGTCTGTGGTCGCTCTTGGGAGCCTCCTGGGCCGTCTTGAGGCGATGTCACTTTAAACGGAGAAGGTTAAAGGCGAGGTATAAATCGAGCATGTACCGCTGCCGTGCCTGGCTCAAGCCGGGCCCGGCCAAATATATGACTGTGCCTCACCGAGGCGCACGACTGGTATCTGAGATCGGAAAATACCTTTTCCATTGAAGATGCCTCTTCTATCCTTTACTCCAGATCCCATGCTTCGTCTCGCTCTCTTGCTCATGCGATATGAGCCAAAGCCTGGGATATGGCAACGCTTGAAGCGTAACACATACCTAAGCTTACCAGCATGTTTTCGACTTGGTAGCGGAGCTGGCTACACTCTCGTGTGGCTGGCTCTCGCTCTGATTCCTGTAATCCACGGCACAACTTGGTGGACTACTACTACGGTGGAATACCATGTTGCGCCGGCTCTGCGAGGAGCGGAGCCAGTCCGCGATCGAGCTAGCGGGGCAACCCGCGAACTCGAGACGCTCTCTCCTACTTCACTGCGCTACTTCACTCTCGACTTCCACCAGATGCCAATCGGCAACTCGATCGAGAACGTGGTCACCCTGCGGGGCTACCCGCAGCGGGGCCACCTGCATCCCGTGCCAGTCAGGCGCCTCACGGCTACTACGCCAGAGCCTGACAAACCACAGCCTAAACCAATCACCGAAGCCGAAATGCACATGCACTGGATTAAGATAACTATCTTCGGCATTCTGTGGGTAATAATGGGATGTGCTGTGGGATACATGCGGCAGGGGATGGACGACACGCGTACTACTGGCCCTTCATGGGACCCTGCCGGTACTACGCCTTTTCGCGAATACGTTCGCGAAGTACATGCATGGATAAACGTAACGAGCGGCAATATGACGCCACCACAACAAGCTGCAGCACTACAACGAGGCCTTCAAGGTCTTGCTCGTCGTATCGCCATGCAGGTCCCCTCCCAGATCATCAACTATGGTGTAACTGTCAATGGACAGCCAACGGATGCAGTCACATATATACTGTACCTACTGAGCACCAAATTTGAAAATCTGGAAGATGAGCGCCAGCTCAACTCTGGCACTGCCCTTATCGACTTTCGCGTCGAAAGGGGCGAGCGAATCGACTCAGTGTTAGCTCGATTCGAGATGGCCCGTGACGAGGCTAACTCTGTTGGCTTTGTCATCCCCAACTTTCAGATCCTAACGCTGATTCTTTTCAGAGCGTTAGGCGTTGGCGCGTCACGAGCCCAACACCTGCTGGAGCCTTTTAATCATCAGATGCCCAGAACACAAGCAGACTATGACAGGCTGCTGACCAGGATGAGGAACTACGGACATGTTGCCGAGCGCTCTCCTGGCAACATTGCGGGTATCTTCACAGGGCACCACTCACATGCAGGTGTCTACGCCACGACTGCGGGGTCACCCGCTGGTCCTGGCGAGCCAAGTCCCTGGGCTGACCCAGCCGATATGCCCAACGAGGCCACTGCCTTCTTAGGGCAGACCGGCCAGGCATCGGCAGAGGCAGCTGAGGCGAACGCCTGGTCGAACTACTCGCCAGGCGCCGCCTACACTGCAAGCCCGCCCTCGGGCACAACCCTCTGGGGCCAAGCGGAGTCATCCGCTCAAGGGTCTCAGCCACCCTCACCGTTTGAATCTGGCACTGACACAGACACCTCATCTGACGATGAGCACAATGGCATAGTCTCTGCTGGTAATGACTATCCAGCGGATGACACTCACCTTTCTGAACAACAAAGAGCGGAAGCCGCTTTTATGGCCCATCGCAAATCAAAACGCCGTTGGAGGCGCTTTATGAAGAAACCAGTCAGAAAAGTGAGACGCGCAGTACGCCGACATTTCAAACGATATGGAAAGGGTCGTGGCAAAGGGGGTCGCAGACGCCGTATGCATGGTAGGGGTATTACTGCTTTCCTCACGTCCTTAACTGATATAGTCTTTGAGGAAGTTCTTATCGGAGGCAAAGGTCGGGGTCACAGGCGGACCTCCGGTAAGGGAAAAGGGCGGAGGGGCAACCCTAGGGACGCTTCTGGCAATACTATGAAGTGTCATACATGCGGCAGCACAGAGCACTTGCGCGATCAATGCCCGAAAGGGAAAGGAAAGGGATCCGTACATTTGGCTCAAAATTCTTTTATGGATGACATAGACTACATTGACTACGAGTTTTACGTCAATCCAGAAGCGGCTCCCGCCGCGGGCTCCTCCACGTACTACGTGATGGCCCGCTACGCTGAAGTGACCGTAGCCCTGGAAGACTACGCAGTGACCCTCTTCGACGAGTTCCACGGCTGGGACGAAGTCGACGAGGTCGCGTTCAATGCTTGGTTCGGTCTTCCAGCGGGGCCACCCGCCGACGACGAGATCTCCGAAGCTGAGACCGTCCCGGCGA